TCAGGAAATAATTCACAATTTAAAACGCGGAGACTAGTGCGACGAAAGTTCACTTTAGAGCGAACTAAACTGTGTTCTTGGAAAGAGTTCTCAATTTTCCTAATTTTTCTAACCGAGATATTAATTTCTAACATGTTTCCGAACATATGTGCATGCAAAAATAAATTTTTCGTAAGAAGATTTCGTTTTGATATGAACAGAGAATCATCATAGCTCAAAGAATAATTATAGCTGGAAATTCGACGCTATTCGCGACTCATGTCTAGCGACGACCATTGCTGCTTGTTATAAACAACGCGTGCCTAGCGACGGCGAGCGCGCGCAGCGCGCCGCGCTGCACGTCCTATCGAGCCGCGCGCTTGCATTTGGCGGTGGGACGGACGAATTTGGATATTTTTATAAATAAATATCTCGTTAACTATTGCGAAAATTGAAAAATGGTAGAAAACGTTCCATCTCAGTTTAATCCGCTCTACCTGTCCATGATATTTGTCAGGAGAGTTGTGGGACATCCTGTATATATACAGGGGGTGTTTGATAATTAATGAAAAATCTTTTGCATAAGGGCAAAATGGTCTAAACTGAAAAGAAAAGTCCTTTGTCATTTTACAATTTTCGTAATAGTTAACAAGATATTAATTATTAAAAATTATAGAAAATTAGTCTTCAATAATTTTTTACTCAAATACTATCAGCTTTTCGGAACCTGCAAGAGACAAAAATTGTTTACTATATTCTCATAGAGCTCTAAGAATTTTTTCAGAATTGTTTATTAACTTTTTAGTATTACATTTTCTTATTTTTACCAACTTGAGAAAATACGGTATTAAAAAATTCTAAAAAAATTCTCAAAACTTTATCAAAAGAAAATAAACAATTTTTGTCTCTTACAGTTTTTCTGTAAAGTTGATAGTTTTTGAGTAAAAAACCAATTTTCGGCAATTTTTAGCAATTAATATCTTGTTAACTATTGCAAAAATTGCAAAATTGTAGAGGACTTTTCTTCTCAGTTTAGTCCATTTTGCTCCTATGTAAAAGATTTTTGATTAATTATCAAACACTGTATACTGCCACTAAACATCTTCAAACGATTCAAACGGCACGCCTAGCAGGCCATCCCCACGCCCAGCGGCTCGCGCGGCGTGCGATCGGTGAGGACGGTAGATCGTATATTCAGCAGCAGTAGGCCGACCGGACGCGCTTATTCGGCTATCTTTAAACGTTAATATCTCGTTAACTATTGCGCAACCTACAAAATGGTATAAGATTTTTCGATTCAATTCGGTCCGTTCTACCTGCTCGTAATCGATTAGCCGATAATTTTCAAACACCCTGTATATAAAATTATACATAATTATATATGAGCAGTTTTTTTACCTTTTTCCACTTGTTTTTTTCTAAAGCAATGCGAAAATTATCCCTTTAATTATTTTTTATTGTTTTTACATTACTATTATTATTTTTATTACACTAAAAAGTAGGGGAAAGTTGCTGAATGCGTACCACTTAACGTATTTTTTATTATATTTCTTATTTAGAACTGATTTGTGTGCAAATGAAGATTAGAAATTGTACTTTGATATTTCAAGTACCTATTATTACACGTTT